GCCGCAGCCCCCGCCGCCTGCCCTCCGCGCGCCCGCGCCCGCCGACCCGCTGCTGTCCTTCCACCTGGATTTGGGCCCCTCCATGCTGGACGCGGTGCTGGGCGTCATGGACGCGGAGCGCCCGGGGGCCGCTGCCGCCAAGCCCGATTTGGACCCCAGCTCCGGGGCACAGCACTCCAGGGCCCACTGCCGCCCCAACGCGGATCTCGAGCTGGACGACGTCATCGGCCTGTAGGCACCCCTGTTTCCGATGCGTTTACCGTCCGGCATCCTACTTTTTTATACATAAACGGCTAAGGTCTTTGCCCCGAGTTCTGTCTCTTCACTTTGCACGTGGGAAGAGAAGACGGGGTGGAGGGGCAAGGGGGATCGGTGATGGGGTCCCGGCGCCTTTAAGGACCAGGTGTGTATCACCTGTAGCTCTTTCCCCGCAGAGACTGGACGAAGGTCGAGATCGGACGGTGGGCCTGGTGTGGTGGGATGTGGCCCCTTTAACTGCGGGGGGCGTGGTTACACGGTGCCCCTTTCAGGGGCGGTGTCCCAACGTGGCCGCTTCACAGCCATTCATTCATCAATTTTGACAGAGCGCCTGGCCTGCCAGACCTGGCCCAAGGCCCGGCCTGACTTGCTCCCGGGGGCCCACTGACGCACTCTAGGGGGGCCCACCTGACTCGCTCCCGGGGGGGCGGGGCTCGGCCTGACTCGCTGCAGGGGACCCGCTGACGCTCCCGGGGTCCGGCCTGACTCGCTGCAGGGGGTCCGCTGACTCGATCCCGGGGGCCACGTGACTCGCTCCAGGGGGCTGGCTAGATTCGCTCCCTGGGGCCCAGTGCAGTGGCTCCGGGAGCCTGACTCCCGGCCCGCGTATCCAGTGAACCCCTCGAGGCGAGCTGCCCTTACCCTGTGAGCGGCCGCGCAGGAAAGTGGTTGGGAAGAGGCAGGGTCCCGGTGGGGGAGTCACACCCCCCTCGGAAAGGTGTGTCGGCCCGAGGGGGGCAGCGGCGTCCCAAGTCAGGGCTACCTAGTTTGCGCCCTGCTGGGGTACAGTTGTCCGGCCGAGGGCACGACCCACAAGGGGCGGGAGGGCGGGGCAGCACGTGCCAACCTTTAGGCGAGGGGCGGAATCACCCCTAGGTAAGGGCGGAGCCAGCCCAGCGAAGAACCTGGAGGAGGCGGGGTCGTACACGCGGAGCGTAGCCGAGGGCGGCCCAAAAGGGCGTGGTCGCACCTGTAAACCTTGTGGACCCGCGGTGGGGCGGGTCCGGGTCCTCGAGGGCACTGAGGGAGTCGGTCACCCCGCGGGCGGTGCCCGTAGGCCCTTTGGACCGAGGAGGGCCACACACGCGCATGGGCCGCGCAGGCGCGGTCAGGCTCCCCGAGGACACCGTGCGCACGGAGCCGCCCGCCAGGCCGGTGATCGGAGGCCCCGCGAGCGCGCGTGCGCGGCTCCCAGGGCGGCGGGAACATGTTGTACAAGTCTATAGATGCCCAGGCCCACCCTGAACCTGAATTTGAGGTTTTAGGCAGACCTGCATTATGACTTGTGGGTGCCCTAGGCAAAGCTTGCATGCATACATATCTATTTATATTTTATAACTGTGTTGGTGTAAAGACAGACATAATCCACACATTTTAAAATAAGTTAAAACCCTGTAACATTTTGGGGGGCCTCTAGAAATGTGGTGGGCCCTAGGCACTTGGTGGACAAAGTCAGCCCTGTCTTCAGGGAAGGGGCCTCGGAGAAGCTGGAGTTTCTCTGCCAAGCTTAGGAGACACTTGGAAGAGTTGGTGAAGCATGTTGCCTGTTGCCCGGCCGGTAGGAGGACTGTGATATTAGTTCTTAGTGGAATCAGCATGGCGCGCGGTGGTCACGGGCGGACCTAAATTGCAGTCTGTGACTTAGGGCCTCCGAAGACGCCGTTTCCCGCCACCATCTGCCGTCCTGTCGTTTGGGAGAGCATCCTCTGAACCGCTGTCTAGGCCCAGGGTGGGGACGTGGGCTGGGTCGCCCCCTCCGGGCGGAGGCGGCGCTGACCCGTCCCCACCCCGACCCCATCCCCGCAGATGCCGGTTCTGAAGCAGCTGGGCCCCGCGCAGCCCAAGAAGCGGCCGGAGCGCGGCGCCCTGTCCATCTCCGCGCCGCTCGGCGACTTCCGGCACACGCTGCACGTGGGGCGCGGCGGCGACGCCTTCGGGGACACTTCGTTCCTGAGCCGTCACGGCGGCGGGCC